TCTAAAAACTTTATTTGAAAGCCATCTTGTGAAAAGAATGCTCTTTTGAAATGATGTGTAATATAAATTTCGAGTTGAAATCTGTTAGTTTCAAAGATTTATTTTCCAATCAAACTTACTTTATCTAATTTATGGTCATTATGGCTGAGTATATAGAGCTTCTGAACTGGTTCAAAAGGTTTCAAGTTTTCTATGCATTGCTCCCAACTGTAATATACAATAAAATTTCTTTTCGAAATTATCAATAAAAACAAGTATAAATATTACTTTATAATGTCAAAGTGCAAATTTCTTATAATTTCAGCTTACCTCGGTTGGTCGTTATAGATGAACTGCTCCAAATGTTTAGCTGTAACTACAACAAGGTAGTTGGCCAAGGCTTGAGGTGGATGTCTTGATACGAGTAGAGCTAATTGTTGAAAGTAGATGAGATTTATTACAGAGATCATTGACGCGTCTGTCAGCTTTATGAGAGCTGATAACTCCGCGTAGAGCAAGTTGTCCCATGCTATCTGGAGAAAAGATATTTATTGTTTCGAAATTTGAATTTCGTCTTGAGTCTAGGACCATCTCAATATGAACACGGAATGCGATTTGAAAAAAAAATGTTTTCTCTGAAAATGTTTCATATTAAGCCACTTTTGATGTTTTGATGTAATGCTTCACTTCTCTGCTGAATTTTTAAATGCATTTCACTTTTACTTTACTTGTTGCAAATCTGATCAAAATCGATATTGTTCAGGCAAAAGATTGGCACGGTGTTTATTGCTAGCAACGAAGCTAACCTTATCGAACAAATGCAAGTTTTAAAGATGTATGGTAATTTTTGGATTTTAATGTTGCAGAAAATTCTTAGTTGTGGCGCAATTCAAATTATAAGTGGTTTCAACGATTACGCTCGTCTACATCTTTGTATTAAAAATTACAAAACTACGATATTTTAAGAAAAAAAGGCACATTTTCAGTTTTAGGTCATCACCTCCATGTAGTACTCGTAAAGTCTTGGGTTTTTTTTATTATGATATTCATTAAAAATAGCACCTTTTTGATTGAACAATTAAAGCCAGGTCCCAGATCCATGCTAAACATTCTTTCAAAAAAGTACAGCTTCCACTAAAATCGTTTAACCCGTTGACGACCGCGCAACCTATGAGAGCGTCGGACCGTTGACACTCTTCTGATCGCATTGTCGCTCCATTTTGGATTTATATGGAATTTGTAATGTCTTTGATGAACAAACTACTTTCCAACAAAACTATACAAGCAGTGGTCAGTGAAAATCAATAAAAGAGCGTCTTCGCACATGCACGATCTTCAATAGGTTAAAAGATTACCTTGCAAGCTTCGATTC